GGTTTTATTGCGGTTAAAGCATGGTATGTGTCCTTTTATATTTATATACCATGAGTCAGCTAGGCCGATACAAGTGCACAGGAAATATTTTCAACTCCTGGATGGTACCTGGCGCGATAAAATACGAAGGAGTCGCGCAACGCAAATTTTGCTCGTGCTGGTTGAAACGGGGGTTGTATGGGCGGTAGTTCAGGTACGTAAATACTAGGACCAGAATTGGAAGATCCACATTGACATAAAAACATCAGATCGTCGTGGGCGTCATACAGCAACTTGACGTGGAAGCATTCACCCGTCTTGACCTTGCGACATCGGTTATCGAAACAGCTTCGACGTACTTGGCGGTGCGCTCTCGTCGACTCGCGTCGCTCATAATTTCGCTGAAGGTCCCTTTTGGCGAGGCAGGCCATTCTGCCAGCGGCGACGATCATCATCGTGCGCTCCCAGAATTCATTCGAGAGCTGGACGATCACAAACCCCACCGATGTCCGAAATATTCAGAAAAAATCGACGCTGCGATTCGGGGTCAGTGGGGCTATGAGAAGCACTGACGCGGACTCGGTAAACTCATCGGCCGTTCCCGGAGAAGCGCAACAACAGAGTATGCCGCCGAAGGTCACTGATCACGAGAAGGTGGGATGAAAGCAGGCAAGGTATAGCCAAGAAGCTCTCCGAAAATTCGAATACTGGAGTCGATCGTTTTGTAGTGGCTGGAAGTATGTGTTGGTATAATTTTAACGGAGGATAGTAGGCAAGAAATCCGCTCGTTTACTCACCAGAATCAATCTCCATGATCAATAGGTTTGATTCAGAGCTATCCCATTCCAGAACATTTGAGGTGGTATGTGACGTTGGGGAATGATAGGAGCACTCAGACTGCATAAAATGGAGAAAGGGAGGCAAAGGTGCGAAAAAGAGGGAGCCCCAGGCCAGAGTGTTCACAGTTGGCCTTTTCACGCCCCCATTTCCCCAGAACTGCATGTAAGACCCCGTTTTTTTTCGGTTTTCTACCCTTTTTGCGGGCCACAATAATTCGCCGCGACACCAGCGCACCGCCGCGCCAGCGGCAGTGTCACGGTAGTGTCTGCGATTGACTAATGCCCGCGGCGCTTGTGTAACTTAGATTCAAGTGCATGGAGATCGGGAAGGAGCGCGCGGACGAGCGCTGGACGGACGCAGTGCTGGGGTGGCACACGGGCGGGGTTCGTCATTGAGGAGGACGGCTGGGCGGATTTTAGATGCTCGGCGATGAGCGTGAGCGTGTGGGTCAAGAGCGACACGAAGGGGAGGGAGGAGTTTAACGGTTTAAAGCTGCAGTGTGATATTCGTCTGTGTGATAAACACTTAGGTACAGGTACCTCGACGAACCCAAATCGAAAAGTAATGGAGTAAAGAATGCCTTTGCTAAACTTGTGCTAAACCGTTGACAAGAACGGTAGGTAGGTAGTATTACACGGCACGGTCCGAATAACGAACGCCAGGGATTTTCCCGGTGTACAAAGCAAGTAAATTACATCATCGCCCCTGGACCTCTGCCTGCTCTCCAAGCCCCGGTCGCGGACCCCATAGGTTTCCCCATGCCCCACGGTAGACCCCAGACAACAGACAGCGGCACAAATATTGATAATCAGCTTCAAGTTCATTGAAGGGCGATGCAAAGGTACGGCGTAAAATACTTGAAGGACATCAAACACAAATTTCGAAACTAGCACAATTAGGAAAAGCATATGGAACCCCGGAGGCTGGCAAATTTATTTTATATGCCGTGTCCATGTGAGAAGAGGCAGTCACGGTGCAGTCATTCGGGAACACGCTCACTCCTTGCATGGACATTAGCATCCAAGACACAGATTGATACTGTATGGGCCCAATAACGGATGCGCTACTACGTGGAATCGGGCCCAACTTTATTTCGATGTCCGTGATTCACGGCCGGGTCCCGCATCACGAAAATTGTCAAGGACTTTTGATCCGCGCAAAGGCCCGCCATGGCTGTGCAAGGCACACTCCAGACTGCGGCCATCATCAAACGTGCGTGTAACGGCTTTGAACGCGCGCCCACAGGCTGTCGCCTTCTTGCAACGATACCTCCACCCTGTCGCTTCCTTCCAGCCCCTCTCCCATGCTCATTCCATTCTTCCGGCAGCCTTACAAGACTCTTCCAATCCCGCCGCGCGGAAGCTTGAAAGGGATTTTCCAACGGGTTTCAACACCAGTCCAGGTTGGTAGTCACCTGTCAAGATGTCCACAAACGTTTGACGAGCTTGCAGTGCCCTTTTAGCGCCGCCTCCAGCATTCTTAGAGCCTTGCAAACCCGCTGAAGGGCCTTCCGGCGCCGCCTTACAATGTGCACATCCAGGTTGGCTTACAAGGCGCTCTCAGGCATCAATATTGCAATCCTGCCTTGGGACTCCTCATTTAAGGTTTTTATGTTACATTGAGGGTTCTCACCACACTTCCTGGCAGTTGTCATTTCCTTCCTCGCTGCCTCTCGCTCGCAATGTCAAACTCCGTGACATTCGACTGCCCATTTGGTTGTGGTAAGAAGAACATTGGCCCCGCGGGATACAACATTTACGTCGGCAAGTGAATGTCGGGTACAAACAAGAGAAGGAATCACTGCCATCTCGCGAGGCGGCGCGCCAGACGACTCGGAGGAAGCAACGCAGCGTGCTAGAGCTGAACGTGCATCTGCAGAAAGACTGGCAATGGCTGCGGCGGCGTGCGTTCCCGACTCTCCTTTGCACTTTGCCTAAAAATGCGGCTTCGCCATTGAGCCGCGGAGCGTGCCCGGCCAGGCTGTTAAGGCGCCCGATTAAGGCCCCGCTAGATCCATAGCCCGTCGTCGCGGCATCGCGCACTACGTGTGGCCACGGTGCCCGCGTCAAAGCCGACACGGAAACGGTGCGTGTAACACACCCGACGCAGAACGGCAGCGCGGCAGCGGCACCGTACTGGGACCCGCGCCCCGCCGCGCTCGAACAGTGTGCCACCCCACGCGACGCGAACAGAACAAATCCTCGCGCGCGCCATAGCCAGGCTGTTACTGCGCGCGATTACGGCGCCCGCGCTAGTGCGCTCCAGTCCGACTTTCGACACACACCCAGCTCACGTCCGCGCGCGCGTCTTGTCTTCCGGCGTGTGGGCCGGTGGTGCTGCGGATGCTGCGTACGTACGCGAGCGGCGTCGTTAGCACGCATCCTTCGAAACTTCCGCGACAGCCCGTGGTCGTGCAGCACGCCTGCTTGGGCAAGGAAATCAGGGCGTGTGCCCGTGGTCGCGGCGGCCATTTGCGGTGGACGCTGCGCAACGCGTGGATGTATACGCGTCCGGCTCTTGCACGTGACATGTGTCACTGGGCTTTAAAAGAGGTGCGCATCACTGCGCCTCTTGTCTCTTGCCTTCATCATCCCCCACTCTCTCTCTTTCTCTTTTCCCTCTCTCCCCTTCCTCTGTTCACAATGCCCGACCAGGCCCAAGTCCTCCCTCCGGCGACGAGCAAGAGCATCTTCTCGGCTTGAAGCGCGACACGGACATGGCCAGGATTGGCGGAGGCGGCGAGAATGAGCCGTCATGGTGTGTATCGCTCACACTGCAGCTCTTCCGTACTCTGACTTTATGCAGGAAGCGCGAAACTGCATTGGCGAAGCTGTCTTCACTCATCAGGCGCACCTCTCGAGACTCGCTTCTTCCGTCGTGGGCTTCTTCCGTCGCAGCATCAACATCTGCTCATTCTGGGTCTGTCAATGCCTGACCGACTTTGCTTCCCACTGCTGAATTTCAAGACCAAACTCGTGCCGTACGTGCCCTGCTTCAGTATATGCGCATATATCCTGATCTAACAGCTGTTTGAAGCCAACGACAACGACGACGAGCCTGAGGGCGACCACATGGCCCAGATCCCTAGGCTCGGACGCTGCGCGCGACCGCCTATGTCGCCGCCGCCGCAGACGCTGCTGCCGTTTGGTATGTCCACATGCACCGCTCACTGGCATCCTTCTCAGACGCCCGCTGAATAACCAGATTCCATCGAATATGCCCTTGCTTGCTGTACGTCCCCTCTCTTACTGTTCTTCATCGCTTTTTCTAGGACGACTTTCACTTAACGATATGTCCCACTGTCTTTTTCTTTCCAGCTAATCCACTGCCGCTCTTCACGCTCTAACATCCGTGTGATATTCCTCCTCTGCGAGCTCGCGTGCCGCTTGTATGTTTCATCTGCGCCGTCCTCATGTTTGACTAACCAGGGGCTTGCAGTGACTAAGTACTTCATTCGTTCAAGTTGTACGTCTTTTCCGTGCTATGCTATCGACTGGCTAACTCATCCCCGACCTTCAGAACACTTCAACGATGGCTTATTTGTAAGTCTATTGTTGCAGCCGGCTCCTCAGCTGCTGATTGATTCCGCAGCGTACTGCATCGCAACTGTTCCTAAATTATTATTTAGCTTCTCGGTACGTTTCCTCTGCATTCGCCACTTCGTGTCGCTAACTTCAAGTTGTTACTTCAGGATTCACATTGTACTCTACTACAGCATTAGCCTCTGTATTGTATGTAGCGTGAATATATATTAAATGATTAATGCGAGCCTCAATACATGCTTAAGCGTTAAGCCATACTCTCATACCATCTATAAGGCATGCCATACCTTACACACCCCACCATTCCTGTCCTCCCCTGAAATACTATTTCAAGGAGCGCCAGAAATTGCGTACGTCGCCATCCTGAAGTGCCCTTAAAACCCCCGCCAGACCCTGCAAGGCGCAACATGTCTGGCAGGCCTTAACATGGTCTGGAGGCAGTTTGCGACTTTCCAATGGGGGTTTCATGGGATACTCCATGTTTAACCATCCTTACCATGCCTTGCGAGCCTTGCAAAGCCCAGTCCAGACCCTGGCAGGGTTTGGGCATTTTTCGTGATGCGGGTCCGAGCATGTGCGGCAGGCGGAAAAGCCCAGCCAACAGCTTTACAGGAAACAAATCAGGTCTGATTTTATAAATCTTGACTAGTATATCGGTTTAGTACACGCGCTTGTCATTGCAGTTAGAGAGTTTCTTTGTCGCGCGAAAGCTGGGTTCGACTCCCAGGTCGAGAGTTAGATTTTTGTATTTTTTCTGGCTTGCACTTTTCACTCAATGGCAAAGGACAGTATGTAAGAATGGATCGAACCGGCCATAATGACGCTGTAGAACACCGAAGACAAAGTTCGTCTTGTTTTGGCAAGCCGGCTCGGCGCAAAGTAACCGCGCGCGCTGGTCAAGTCTATATGTGTGCCAGACAGGCTCAGGAGAGCTGCAGGAATAAGGGCTTGTAATGTATAAAAACGCTGCACTGCAATGGGATTGTGTAGTCCGCAATCGTTGCGACTCAGCGAAGCGCTCGTGCAATCGTCGAGGGGATACCGGCCCGTTAATGCCGGCACGGGTGCCGGTTGGTCGGTTGCCCCAAAATATTTTCTGGTACAGGTTTTCCCAGGTGCTGGAAACACCTCTGGCGGGCATCCATGGGCTTCTCCACAATTTAAAGTACTTTGCCGACCTTCATTTAAGACAAATTTGAGATATATCGCTGCCGCACGCTTAGAGCATCTGTCTGAAGCACTGGCACGACGTAAAAAACCTCAGAACTTCATACACATATCTAGAAACCAGCGCAACCGTCGAACATAGAAATATAATGGCTTTTTTAGAAACTCAGTATTTGAGAGTTTGACTATCTGACGTTTGACTCGGAGGTCTGGACGTTCGGTTGGCCTGAAAACTTGTCCTGAGTGAATTATGAATTGAACGACACAGTAAATCATATGTTCCTCATCATGGCGGTGTGTCTGATTGTCGATTGTAGTCAATGCCCCAAGCAAATTGCGATACAACCACATTTATAATCATTAATTTGTCCAAACACTGTCCAAAGCGCAAGGCTGTGGCAGTGTCACAGACAATCACTTGAGGGGCGTCCGATCCAGTGCGATACTGGGGAATAGGGGTAGTGCCACCAACAAAGATCGTAAAAATGAGTGAATAAAAGCCTAGCTACTACAGGCAGAAAGCTACTACTTATATACTGTTGTAGCTAGCGTGAGAAGTATTACTAACGTGAGAACCCTTATTACTAATGGTGGGAACTCTTACTAATGTGGGAACCTTTATTACAAATGGTGGGAAAGCTATGTTACTAATGTGAGAAACTGGGGTCTGTCCTTGACAACCGTGTCCATAAGTTAAACATGTGTTCACCCTGATCATTCATCCAATCCCTCGGGTGTTGGTACTTCTTCGATCATCTTGATCGTATCTGAGAAGCGAACTCTTGACCGATCACTGGTCTCACGCCTCTCACATGTGTCTCCGATGTCTCCGAGGTCACATGGGTCACGTGTCATGTCACGACAGGAACAAAGACGTGACATTACCCCCCCTCTAGACTCAACGTCCTCGTTGAGTGACGCAAAGAAGGGATCCTCGTGGACTTCACGAAAAATTCCCAAGTCCGGCATAAATAACTTTTTCGTCAAGTATTTCTGGGACTCCTCCCAAGGTTTAAACCGGTGGATTAAATAATCCCAGTGGCCAACAGGTAAAATGGGAAGTGCGCGCACTTGGATCCCGTGCTGCTTGTTGTACTCGTTTAACAACCGCTTGGCGTGAGTCAGGTGACGTGTCGGTTCCCAAGTCCGATCCGACATTGGATAATCCTTCCACTTTATTAAATATTGATAGCCTCGGCCCCGTTTCCGATGTTTGAGGATCTGCTCGACCTCGTACTCCGGATTCCCACCGATTATCTTCGGCGCAGGCCGTTCCTCCCTCCGGTGTGGTGGAGGTTCCACGTAAAGAGTCAACTTTGACTCGTTAAATACCGGGTGCATTCCTTCCGTCTCAGGTAACTTAAGCCGGTAAGATGCCACTCCGACCTTCTCAAGCACCTCGTAAGGACCTAATCTAAGGTCCGATAACTTCTCCGAAGGTCTGTCGGTAGCAATGTCCTTTGCTTCGACCCAGACCTTATCTCCGGGTTTAAAAACCGGCGCGTCCTGACGCTTAGCGTCATAATATTTTTTCATTCTTTTCTGTGCTTTTCCTAAGGCCGCGGACGCGTTATCGCGGACCTTGTTCATCTGCTCGGCAAACTCCTGAGCCGCCTCATTCCGAGTCTCAACGGCATTCTCGATCCCTTTCCAAGGGTGATAGCCGGTGTTTAAAAAGAAAGGCGACACCTTGGTCGCTGAAGAAGCCTTGTCGTTATGGGCGAACTCGGCCAACGACAACCATTCCGACCAGTCCGTCTGGTGATAATTAACAAAAATCCGGAGATATTTCTCAATCTCCTGATTCATACGCTCCGTCTGCCCGTCGGTTATCGGGTGGTGAGCCGTACTGGGGTTCATCTCAACCCCTAATATCTTATTAAGTTCCCGCATAAATATTGAAATATAACGTCGGTCTCGATCCGATATTATTTTGCGAGGAACCCCGTGATATCTAATCACTCTGTCACGCGTCAAGCGTGCTACTCCTTCACTCGAGAGCTCCATCGAGGTTGACTCCGCGTGAATCATCTTGGTGAAGGTGTCGACCCACACCTGAATAGTGTTATGCCCATTACTAACGGGCAACAGACCGATGAGGTCCATCGAGATAACCTGCCACGGCCCCTCGGCAATCTTGTGTACATTGAGTTTGCCTTGTTTGTGACGGTGTACTCGTGTCCTCTGGCACGGCTCGCATGCTTTAATATACTCCGAGACCTGATTACCAAGTCTCGGCCACCAATAATTACGCTCGATCATTTCCTGCGTCCGGTTCTCTCCGGGATGACCAAGCAGGGGGCTATCATGGTGAAGCCCAATAATCTTATCGCGCAGTTCCTTATCCCAAGGAACATAAATGAGATCGTTATAATAAATAACGCCATCTCTCTTCTCCCATCCAGGGAGTTTCCGTTCAAGAGCATTTTTAACGCTCTTGTCGATTCTCTTTGTCTCGAGAATCTTGTCCCAGATTTCCTTTTCTGGACCTTCGAGCTCGATGCCTTGAGCTCGGATGTACTCCGCCCGGAAGTACTCGGGTTTCAACAAGACGACATCCTTGTTATCGTCCTTGCCCATGTCGTGATCCGCACGACGAGATAATAAATCCGCTTTTTTATTGAGGGCGCCAGCCCTGTGTTTAAGCGTAAAATGATACGGAGCTAGCTCCGTGATCCATCTAGCCTGCCGTCTATTTATCTTTTGCGGCTTCTTAAAATACTCCAGATTCTGGTGATCCGTCAGAATCTCAACCTCATGCCGATGATGGGGCCTGGATTGGTTCACTACGTGAATTTATTCAAAATGACCCAGCCGCGGACATTTTAATATGTCAAGCCAATATATTATCTTAGAACCGGCGCTGAGGCCCGTAGCGGCCGGTTGGACTATAGACACCAACGAGCAGGAGAATATATAGTTCTTCGGCAGTACGTACAGACGTGCGCGTTGCCCTGGAATAATATATTTTCCAAGATGTCTCGCAGTATGGCGTGGTGGTTATCCAAAGACCACTATAATTCAATAAAACCCCACTGCGCCGTGTCGTCCATTATCATGGGGCGTTAAAACAATATCCAATTAAATATCTGAAACGGCACTGGGGATGTTATCGTTGGCTGGAGCTTTAGCTTTAACCCAATCGGCCATAACGGCGCGTGGCGTGTGTTGCAAACACGGTCACCTGACCGGAGGGAACTGTGGATAGCCTAACCGCGGACGCGGCAAAAGCTCAAATAACATATTACGTGACCGCTGTGATGCAGAGGATTCGACGCAATCAAGGGCAAGGGCCAGACCCGGGTTAA